TATAGGCATATTCATCTGATAGGCTAAAACAAAAAAAAATGTTATAGAGGTGAGCCAGACAGTTGAAATGTATTACTCAACTTTTTACTGTTCAGACTCACCCCGTATATCTTGGAAGTGTACATTCGGCATACATGCACGAAATTATGTAGTTATCTCCCAAAACAAAGTGGAAGAATTTTCAATACGCTTACTTATTTCATTGCAAAGTATTGTCCATGCATAGCACATTATTATACATTGTATTTTGAAAAAAAAAAGTGTATCATTCGTCCCCAACCTCTACTTGAAAAAGTGATAACAAAAAAATGCAGTGATCTAACAAATAATTATTCTAACAACACGTTTTTGAGAATCCTTGGTATAACAATGGTATACCAGTGCCGCCCAGTCGCCATCTTTTAATTTTCATCTATCAATTTTAATCCAAAATATATTGATGCGCATCAATTTCATCATGCCAAGTTTAAGTTTTTTTAGTTGACCCGTTCAAAATATAAAATGGGGGGACATTGACGAAAAGCACTGTATAACAAGAATTCAGACTATTCTCTGAAACATACAGGGTGCTACTAATTCATATGTCAACATTTTGAGTATGTGGTTCTAATTTCTAATTATGGTTTACGTTGGTAAAACAACCTTTGACACATCGCTCTGGCACATCCATCACTACACTACAGCTACACTGTTTTACCATTACAACTTACAACCTGAGAATCCTGAGATTATCAACTAACCAAACTCGTGGTTTCGCTACAGAGATCTATGGCTTGGCTACAGTGTCTCTATACGATGCTAACTAACCAAACCTTTGCAGAATTCAAGGAATCGGGGTTACAAACTATTGTAGGAAACTTCAAAAACTTCCCCCAACCGAAGTTGTATATCCGAGCGCTAGATGGCGAAGAATCAGGATTGACATTTCTCGAAACATGCGTCATCATTATGTTATCGTCGAGTGTTGTTTATAAAAGCCCAAACAAAATTTCTGTATAATGAGCTAATGTTTTTGTTTGGTTGTGGTTGGATCATTTGGATAGTGTGTTACCCGAACAGTTCAAGTAAATAAAGAAGTTTTGTGATTAGCAGCTAAGGTAATGATGCCAACTATTTAAAAAAATCTATTCCTGTTTCTTGAATCAGCATTTTTTTTTTCAAAAACACTTTGTAGATATTTCCTATAAAAGTTCAGTAAGATCTTTTGTATTTCTCGAAATCTTCATATGTTTGATATTCCAAAATTGAAGAATGAGCCTTATCAAAGGTCATCTTTATACTATCTGTAGGTTATTCGAGGAAGTTAAATATTCGTTTTTCTTGATTCTTTTGGGATTTTGTGTCGTCTCAATAAATGAAAATAGTATGTATTATCTCGAAATAGTTGTAGTAATGATAACGAAAAAGATGATTTTCACCAAAATGGCACTGCGCTCAAAATTCCACTACCTGTGTTATATATAGCAACAAAAGAAAAAAAATAATCCATAGTCTTTGTTACACATTTTGCTTGAAAAATGTTAGAAGACAAATATTATTCAGGTTTAAAAAACACTAATCTTTTGAACTTCTCAAAACCCCAAGAAGAAAAGATGAATCTCAAGAATTATCTTCAATATTTATATTGAAAACGGCAGCAGATTCGTTCCCGAAACATTCCTCTCTTTTAGTATTACAATTCAATTATTTTAGGGATATAAATATGCATACATACATACATAGGTATACAAGGTGTTTCAAAATACAGTATCAAGATTCCAGGCGGGACTTATTATTTTTCAAAAACATTCCAGGACCGGACTCACTTTTCTTGAAGAGACCTTTCAAAACATGGAAATAAGTACAAAATTTTAAAAAAATCCAATACCTACCTCCTCTCCCTATGCTCCCTAAGTACGCACGATGTTCTTCGAATATTATAGGAATTTCCTTTCGTGCGCTCCAAGAGATAAAAAAAATATGAAAAGTTATATAATGCTTATGGGTGAAAGATTTTTTTCCAAATCAGATGAACGTGCCACTCATACTACAATCAGCGAATCAAATTGTGATTTAGATTTTGGTGTTTTCATTATTCAGAAAACACTACAAAAGAAGACTGTGATGTATGAAAATTGACATAAATAGGTATTTTCTCTTAACAAGATGGGGCACCTCCATACATTACTCAGTACAAGTGAGAGAATACCTAGATCGAGACCTAGATAAACAATCCTCTAATCGCTGGATTGGTCGTGGTGGCCCTCATTCTTGGCCCCCTATAGGCCAAACTGTATTAACTCACAAAAATCAAATTTTACAGCAGAGCAATCTGAAAGTTTTTATTGACATTAAGTTGACACAAAATATGTATTTAGTAACCATCAAAGGAACAAATAATAGTATATTATGTAACAAGTGTTATAAACGTCCTTTTAGTAACGAGTATTTTAAGCACGAGCGGAGCGAGTGTTTAATAAACGAGTGTCTAGAAAAGTTTATAAACGCGTTACATACTATATGCTCTTTCTACGAACTCCGAAAATTACATTAACATACCTGCTATTCCTGCTAACCTACAAAATAATTCGAAAGGAATGGGAATTGAGAACATAATACATGCAACTGCATGCAACCGCAGTGAGACACGTATAAGTTATATTGGTTGTAGATATGTCCTTTGTTTCACGTTAATTGTCATGCGAGCAGAATAAATAAATTGTTCTCAAAGATGGATGCTTCATTTTTACACTTCTTGGAGATATGCAAGTACCAGAACATTCTCTTCAATTTCACTTTCGTCTACTTTTCGCGTTTATTTTTAATGAAGAATTCTGATACAAACGAATACTGTTTGAATAATTCTGATACAAAATTTGAAAATAACAGTTGACAGTTAATACAATTGACAGACCAGACATGTCTCAAATTACTGAAGCTGTGTTTAATGAACTGTGTTGTCATGGTAATGTGTTTAAGAAATCGTGTTGCCATGGTAACGTGTTTAATATTTTGAATAAATCACAGATCCACAATCCGTGATTAATCGATCATTTAGCGTGGTACATATCCGAATTAGCTGTTAACTTCAGACAAGTGTCTATTTTACCATCTCTCTCAAAAATTTTCGAATATGCTATATACTCACAACTAATGGATTTTATGGAATTAAATAATATCCTGAGTCCACATCAATTTGGCTTCAGAAGAAGTAAATCAACCTCAGATGCAATAAATTCGCTCATCAGCTATATAAAAGATGCGTTCGAAAATAGAGAAAAATATATCGGCGTTTTCACAGATCTTACTTCAGCGTTTGATTGTGTTAATCATCAAATCCTCCTCGATAAATTACATTTCTATGGTGTCAGAGGTGTTTGCTGGAAAATGATGAAATCATATCTAGAAAAAAGACTCCAGGTTGTAGAATTTGGTCAGTCTCGTAGTGATGAAAAAGAATTGATAAGAGGTGTCCCTCAGGGCTCCATACTAGGACCGCTCCTCTTTATCATTTACATCAATGATCTACCACACTTCGTAAACTCATCTAATATAAAAACTACAATGTATGCAGATGATGCCACTTTGAGTATAGCTTTAGACGATTTGGTAACTCCTCAGCAAATTTTGAATATAGTAGTAGAGAAAGCAAGAAATTGGTTCACTGCAAATGAGCTGATACTGAACGAACAAAAAACTAAAACATTAACTTTTGAAACGAGAAACATGGATCAAATAGAACAAGCAGCTGTTAAATTCTTGGGTGTGCAAATTGATTCAAATTTAACCTGGAAAGACCACATAAATAACCTTTGTACCAGACTTAGCAGGTCAACATATGCAATCAGACTGATTAAAAAATCTGTGAACCTTAATGCAGCTCTTATGACTTATCATTCAATATTCCATTCAGTTCTTAGGTATGGAATAATATCCTGGGGTTGTGCATCAAAAATTCATTTAGAAAGAGTATTTGTGCTACAAAAATTTGCCATAAGAAGTATAGCATCAGCTAAACTTGATGAAACGTGCAGACCACTATTCAAAAATCTCAAAGTAATGACATTATATTCAGTTATTGTCTACGAAAATCTATTGAATATTCGATTGAATTTGATGAAATATTCCACTCACACAGATGTGCACGAATATAACACAAGAAACAAAAATGACCTGGTACTGAAAGCAAATAGACTGAGAGAAACAGATAATATAGGCATCAAACTATATAATACACTGCCAACTGATTTCCGAGAACTGCCAATAAAAAAATTCAAGGAGGCCATGAAGCATATTTTGATTGAAAACCCACTGTATGACATTCATGAATTTTCCGAAATAGTTGTGAGAAATAGGGATGCTTTTGGACTGGCGTGAATGACTTTTTCTACACATATTTTCTTGATTTTAATGATTGTCAAACTTGTGTCAAACTTGAACATTGAATTTATTGAATTTATTATTTTCTTAAATACGGTATTCCATTTGAGTAACGCCAATGAATTTTAGCATGTATATGTAGTATTTGTATTTTATATTTTGAATTGATGTACTTTATTGTCGTAATTTCATGAACTTTGCTCTTGTAGGTAACTGCTCTCAAATTTCGTGACGTGTCTATAAACTCTGTGTTTCTAAGATCAATAAAATTATTATTATTATTATTATTATTATTAAAAATATGGGGGTAAGTGTGTATTTGACCCCCAGTATTTTGAATATGTGACAGTTATTTCTTATTTTGTTTTCCTCACACGATGTAACTCTTTGTGCTGAAGTAATGTACCAATTTTGAGATTAAAATCTTATTATATAAATATGCGAGTAATTAAAAAAAAACAGTTTTTAATTTACAACTTTGACACCCTGTATATCGAATATGAAGGGCAAAAATGGAAAATGGTATCTAGAAACTCATATTGTTTTTGTTCAAGGAATATAATTATGGTTAATGGATTGACCTCCTTTCAGCGGACACCCTGTATAAATCATAAAAAATGCCTACTTTCTAGCTTGGCACAATGTGGTTCTCCATAATTTCTCTCCTGTTGGCTGCAAACACATTGACAGCCATAGTGCCAAATCCGAGACCAAGTCCACCCCATCACCCATTATCTGACGCATTCATCGATTCCATCAATCTCCAACAATCTACGTGGCAAGCGGGTAGGAATTTTCCGGAAAACTTGCCGATTTCCTACCTGAAAAAACTCATGGGGGTGCTTCCCCAGCACAAGAACTACATGCCCCCCGTTTTGGAACATAATTTGGAGGGTGTGGAGATCCCCAAGGAGTTCGATGCCAGGCAGGAATGGCCCCATTGTCCCACATTACAGGAGATTAGGGACCAGGGGTCTTGTGGATCTTGTTGGGTAAAGAAAAAACATTTTTCAAACACGTGAAAATTGAATTTTGTATAATAATTTGTATATGGCTAATTCGAAGTTGGAAACCAATCAACTCTCCAGAAATCAAACTTGTGCGGGGTTAGGAAAAACGCGAGATCTCCCAGCTTCCCAGGCAACCAGATGACGTTTCAGTGACGTCTTTTTACGTCTGTTGAACGACCAAGGTGACGTCATGAGTTGACGTGATAAATGACGTGAATAAGTAACTGCCCAATGACGTCATTTTACTCACGTTTATTGACGTCATTCAATCACCAAACTGTGATGTCGAGCTAACGTCGAAATGACGTGAAACTGACGTCAAAATGACGTTCAAATTTGGTGATGACACGTAGAAGAGTTTCCTGATGACATATAATATTGGTTTCTATATAATATGTGTGTGTAAAATGAATGAAGAAACGATTTTTTTCTGAAAAGTTTTCCACACTGAGAATGCCCATCCTGTATATATAGGTACGTCACAAAACTAACGGTTTCACAATGTAAGTATACATGGTTTAGATATGGTCTGGGAAACATCGGAGTCGACAGGACGTCCCTGCAACGTCATGAAACTGACGTCATATTTTACCTTTCTAAGTGACGTTCACTCGACGTCGAGATGATGACGTGATTCTCACGTCATAGAAAGTACGTTATAGTGACGTCATAAATTGGTACGTGACGTCTCTGACGAGAAATCACCAATTGGGGACGTCACAGTGACGTCATATGGTTGTCTGGGTTATCGTGGAATCTGAACCACTTTTATGGCGTCGATTAGAAATCAATAATGGCAACCATGCTGTCAGTTTCATCAACAAATTCAAACGAATTATCAAACATTACTAACTATATAATCTGACTCAGCTTTTATTTTTCCTCCTATCAATAATTATTCATTTGCAGATAACGCATACGCTCATATCTTATTACTTTTCTTGAGTTCTTGTTCATTGCTGTTACTGTTAATCTATTCTTGTCAACATGATAAATCCAGAAAAGCAATATTGATTGTTTTATTGCAAAAACATTGGGTTATCTCATATTTATGGTTTGATACAAATACAATTCACCATAACATCTATACTACAGAGTTTATAATGATATAAAGTCTGGAAGTTTAGTATATAAATAAATCGCAAATATTATTAAAAACCTTTTGATAAAAGAAATCTTCCAATTTCAATTGATTTACGGAAATTAGTTTTCTGAGAAGAAGCTTGAAAGTCTCACTCTAAATATGAATTTAATGCAATGCTTGATAAATTTTCCACAACCCAGAGGTCATCATCAGGCTTATTTATTTGTTTTTTGGGAAAATCATTGTTGAAATATCTGACAGAAAACAACTACCTACTTTTCTGTCTAATGTCACAGAATATTGAATTATATCAGTGAAATATTGGAAATACCAATAAAAAAAAGTACAATAACTAATCAAAACAACTATACTTTCCTGGCTACCACAGAATATTGAATTCTATTCATCATGTATGGAAAAATAATGTATCTATAATTGTATTAGTAGGTACTGATGATGGTCATATGGTCATTATGACTTCAGCAATCTATTTTTCCCTTTCTAATCTTCAAATTTGACGAATTTGTAGAGAGACTTTGAGCTTTCTCATTTTCAAAAATTCATTGGAATTGTATGAAGTGGTATGTTACATATTGAACATTATCATTATTATTGCCATCATAATAGGCTTTTGGAGCAGTTGAAGCTATGTCAGACAGAGTTTGCATCCATTCCAAAGGAGCAGTGAACATCCACATTTCTGCAGATGATCTTGTCTCCTGCTGCTGGACCTGTGGCATGGGATGTAATGGGGGTTTCCCAGGTGCTGCATGGCACTATTGGGTCAGGAAAGGATTGGTTTCAGGAGGACCATTTGGGTCCAATCAGGTCAGTACACACACAAACACATTATGTCTTCTGATTTCATAATATAAACTCAAAATATATTGATGTTTTATTCATTTTGTCAGGAAATGAATTGTAAATGTGGAACTTAGCATTTAATGAAGTCAATGCAGTCTATAGTTATGGGACTAGATGAATAAAATACTTGATAGCAAATATATTCAAGTCAGACATTGGCAAACAATCAATATTTTATTTTTTAAAATATTTGTTCATTTTGATATTTCTTCATGTTATAAACAGATTCTTTGGGGGTATAATAAAGACACTCAATCAATATACACTTCAAATATATTAAAATCTACTATTTGGTATAAATGAACAACCTTTGGTGACAATTGCAATGATTTATTGGTGATGTTTACTTGTCTGGTGCTTATTCCTCCTTCCTTGGTTTTGCTGCTTCAACCATGAGGTCATGCAATTGATAGATTTGTTCATCTCGAAAATTTTCTAGTTCTGTTGGGGACAGAGGTGCACCTAGTTTGTCTGTTCCAGTGCTAGGACCTCTCAGGCCCAATTGTTCAGCAAGAGTTAAAGCATAATTCTGTGAAATGAAAAAGATCCCAGTGTTTTCAATTGCTCCATTTTTAATTCTGGAAATAGTACTTACCGACCATTCGCTCATAAATATTCGGGCTTCATTCTCACCACACGTTTTGTGTCTTTTGAATTCGTCTCTAACATAGTTTGTCCCTAACAGTTGGAGCTCTTGTGGTAGACCTCTGTGAAGTTTCAGGATGGTTTTGTACAAAACTCTCACTCTCTGGACATTCGTGTAGTTCATTGTTTGGATTTTATCAAGTTCGATTCTTCAATTTCCTCATTTTAACAAGATTATCAAAGGTTTTTAGTAAAAAATTGATTACATTATGTGAGGTTAGGTAGGTGACCTTTCTCATTCTTCTTGTTTTCGATTATCAATTACCATAGTCCGTAGCTGCAAGGCTGTCCGGCCAAACATTCCATAGCCTCTCTTCTTCTCTCTTTCGCAAGCTTGCCATAAATTCTTATTTGAAACATTGATACGTGAGGCTTTTGCATATTATCTCATGATTGCATTTTCGTTGCTATTTCAAAACATACAGAGTGGTCATCTTTCTATCTTCATTTTTTTTAGGGTTGCCGACCATACGAGATTGCCCCCTGCGAACACCACGTGAACGGTACTCGCCCCCCTTGCGATGGAGCAGAGGGCAAAACGCCGAAATGCGTGCAGAAATGCGAGAACTCCTACACCATCACTTACGATAAGGACAAGAATTTCGGATCTAAAGCCTATTCGATTTCCAGCGACGTGAGCCAAATTCAGGCCGAGATTTACAAGAACGGGCCAGTAGAGGGGGCTTTCTCTGTGTACTCTGATTTCGTCAACTACAAGAGCGGTGAGTTTCCGTTTTTAGTACTATTTCAAGTACATTTCATACACATTTAGTACTTCAATGCCAAGGACGGCTAAATATCTAGACTGACGGGCTATATGTATAACCTGGCAGACATTCTAGATATTTAGCCGTCATTGGTCAATACAATTAACACTAATCTAGTACTATCTATCTAAAAACAAGAACCAGATAGCCCAAGCTATTTTTGCATACAATTATTTGAAGAAGATAATATGTTATAATTGGAATCCTGATGAAGCCCTCATTGATAAAAGTCCATAATTTCCAATTCAACGGAGAAACAATGAGAAGTTATCGATGAATTATTGATTTGATAGTATGGTATTTGATTTCAATCAGTAATCTGATCTGTTCCCTTCCATCTCTTATTTTCGGTTTTTATTAGCTATAAATTGTTTCATGACCTACGTTTTTCAGAGGTGTTTCAATGTGCCGTATATTATTATTTTGAATTTTCATAAAGGAATATGAAGTTTTTCATCAAATGTATAAATCGTAAATTTTGAAGTGTTATTTTCTCAATTTAGTACAATTTCGGAGTGACTTCTAGTACAAATTGAAATTCTGAAACGGCAACACTGTTTACAATATACCAGCTCAGGGTGACCATCAGCAGAGATTATACACTCAGGATTGCTGTATCTTAATTGCTATATACAGTGGGAAACCTATGGAATAAAATCAGTATTTCCACAATAGGAATATATTTAAGAAAATCCTTTGAACAACTCTAGGTCGATTTTCATTCTTGATCAGTATATTCTATAGAATATTAGCATCTCCGTAATCAGTATATTCTATGTTGCGTATTTATCAACACACTTTTGTTGTTTTATTTTCTACTTCTTATTATTTTGGCTATCTATCAAAGGACGTTTCTTTAGTTTTTGCCATATTGATTCCGCCATCTTGAATTTCTCGAATTTTGATGAAAGAATCATAATATATGATCCCGAAAACCCCCAGATACAAATTTTGAATAAATTCGGATCATAATTACAAGACTTGCCCGCCATATTAGATTCGCCATCTTAAATTTCCCAATTTCGACAAAAGAATCATTATCTCCGACCTCAAAAACCCCTAGATACAAATTTTGAATAGAATCGGATCATAATCACAAAACTTCCGCCATCTTGAATTTTGAAATTTTTGTCAAAGAATCATAATCTCTGATCCCGAAAACCCGCAGATACAAATTTTAAATAGATTCGTATCATAATACCAAAACTCGTCCGCCATATTGGATCCGTCATCTTGAATTTCCAAATTATGACGAAAGAATCATAATCTCCGACCCCGAAAACCCCCAGATACCAATTTTGAATGGAATCGGATCAAAATTACAAAACTCGTCCGCCATTTTGGAGCCACCATTTTGTTTTTTGTTTAACAAAAATTTCATGATGCATTTCCACCCGAACTATGTACACCTGCCAAATTTCAAATCAATCGGTCCATTTAAAGTGGGTCAAAATTGCTACTATGTATAAATATGTAATTTTCCTATACTTTTCATTTTATGTTGCTAGTAACCTTAGTAAAATATTACAATAAGATTACATTTGTTCATTGAATATTAAATGTAACTGTACTTCATACGCAATGTTACAATAACTTTGCTGTAATGATTCATTCGCGAACATCACATTCATAATATTACTGAACGTCCGTTTCAATAGTTTCTGCGACCTTGCAGTAAGATAGCGATAATAGCTGATGTAACATTACACATTACATTGAAAAATACTGCTGCAATATTGTTGAGATATCAATTTGCTTAGTGGTAAATTGAGTCCAAATTCATACATACATAAATGATGGAAGTAAGATCACTCACTCGACCGCCTACTATGATTTCTCTACGTCACAACGAGCGAGACGTTGATTCTACATTTTCTTGCTAGATGGTAATGTTGCTATTGCTGCTGAGACGAGTGGAAATAAAATGGCAAATGGTATTTTAGGTATGCGGAACATATATATGTAACAGTGGGATTATTCAACTCTGAATTCAAAAAATCTGCGACAATTTCAAAACTGACAGATGTCATAATTGTGCAATGTCGCCATCTATTAGAAGATCGACGGAACCATTGATCTCGCTGTTCTTGAGAGGTCGAGTAAAATTTCTGAAACAAAAGCGCATCAGTAATTACACCATATCTAGAGTCACTGTATGGTATTAACTTTCATCATTCATACATACATACAGAGGTGGAGCTAATAAAATAGTGTTAGTAAAAAATCGTATAAGGATATGATTTTGAGCAATTTCTCTCCACTTGGAAAAACTTAAGACCCTTAACCACAAAAATATTCCAGGGGTGTACCAACACGTGCAAGGCTCCATGTTGGGCGGCCACGCCATCCGCATCTTGGGGTGGGGGGTGGAAAACGACACCCCCTATTGGACGGTGGCGAATTCCTGGAACGCCGATTGGGGCGATCACGGCACCTTCAAAATCCTCCGGGGCAAGGACCATTGCGGCATCGAGAGCGGCATCGTGGCAGGGTTGCCCAAATAATAAGGGTTACCCAAATAATAAGGGTGGCCTGATATTTGAGGGTTGTCCGATTGAGGGTTGTGTTTTATCAAAAAGTTGTTGTCGAGGCATAATATGCTTTCCCCCAATAGGCCTTTTCATTGATGAAATAAACCTCTGGTGTTCGCACTTCAATCCTGTTTCCTGTTTTACAATTCCTTGATTTTCGCCTACTTCGATGAACATAACATGGCGTGGGTGAATGTCGCTAAATTTAGTCTGGTGCCGTACCAAAATTACAGGCATCAATGTGACAATTGTGACCGAATTGTGACCAATGAAGATAGGGAATACATTATGCGATTTAGCCGCATCAAGGTTGGTAGAGCTGATGTTGATCATAAGTTCCAAGGTTGGTAGAACTGATTATAATTTGTATAGGAAGGTTGCCTCGATCGATAGTGCGGCAAGGGGGGAAACGGTCACTCGTGACGTCACAGGCAGTAAGACGACAAGTTGTCAACCTTAAAGTGACATGTCATGAAATGTTTACCAAATAGAGTATACAAACATGATACAAACTTTTTGGTCTGCTCAGCATATTTATATTAATTTATAGTATATAATTATACTTCTTTAGAGCTCTATACTGTGTTATAAGTAAGTACCATTTTAAAATATGGATATTTACATATACTTCTGTATAATACCTTCAATCTTCGAAATGAGAAGGCAATTTTGGATGGATCAGTAGTACAGAGAGGAATAACCTATCTGAACTTTTGTTCCAGGGGCTATTTACCAGGTCGTGGTACCAGGTATGTGTGTTTTGAGGTATGGAGCATAATTATATGGAGCTAGTGATTACTTGTGCATTGATTATGAACCTACTCATCCTATAAATATCCTGCAAATCAGATAATGTGAACAAGAAACTACAGAAAATATAAGAATAATCAACTGATGATCCAGAAGTAGTAGCAGTGGACAAATATTCATACACAACAGATCACTTATTTTATCAATATAACTCTGTATTCTGAAAAATTAACAAACTTTCCTAGATACCTATAGAAAATACAAGAGGAAATAGTATTTCATTGTTTGATTATATTGTAGTCAAAAACAGAGCAATTCATCGAAGTATTTGAGCTTAAAAAAATAACAAAACATGATTCTGAACAAAATTAATGAAAAATAACACTACTATAATAAGTGAACCTATAATAAAGGATAGTTCAAGGAATCTCTCAAATAAACATAGCTCCTCTTCGTTGGGTAACGTACTCTTGCTCAAATATCTCAACTTGAAAACACGTGTGATATCTTCTGATGTCCATTTTACCCGTTCAGCAGGAATCTCAACATTCACAACTGGTCTGGTTCTGATCATTTTTCCAAACTTCCATACTTATGGTGTTTCTCTTGTTGTATTTGGTATTATTGATGGGATTCCTACCTTGAGTTTTCTTCTCTTTGGTGTGTGATTTAGCAATTCTGCTTGTGCCGTTCAAAATCCTCGGCATCGAAATGGACAGAACATATTCGCCAAGTTTTGGTATTAAATGAATTAAAATTACGTCCACAAAATTGAATCCATTTCTCACGAATCGACTCATCTTATGGAAATTAATGGAAACACAAACTAAATTCACTAGTCTCATTACACTTGTACGAATTTTAACAAGAAGTGACCGAACAAATTATCATTTTTACATTTTTATGTTCAAAATGGTTCAAATATTCGAAAATACTGACAACTGTCAACTCAATACATGCGCCGGCCAATCGCCGGCGTACATATCATATACGAAGTGTACGAGAGTGCTACACTTTTCGTGCAAAAGAAAGGGCCTATTACGTCATGAGTTACTCAAGGTTACTCGCGGGGTGCGATCGAGGCAACCTTCCTCTACAAAATAGTCATCAGTTCTACCAACCTTGATAAGTTCTAAGAATCACGCCATCTAACATTCGATATGTGAACCCCACGTCATCGTCTGAAATTCAATTGTTTATATCAAGAACCAGTCTGACGAAACAAATGAAGAGTGAGCGCACCAGAGGTTTTTTTCATCAATGCCTTTTCATTTAGATGACAAATGACTATCTCTGTTTACATCTCACATCCAACGACAATGGCGGCCATTTTGACCGAAACACTTATTCCACAGTACCACACTCCTCAGTAACGAATAAAGTAACGTTTTATGGAATTAAATTGTTATAATACAATTGATACACACCAGGAATATGAAAACAAAAATACTATGTTGTTATTGCTGTTTCTCAATGACCAATGCCCATGGTGGTTGACACTGTTGACATTTGACAGAACGTCAATAATACCCGCCATATTCGAAATGGCCAATCAGCATTTTGTGTTTAAACTATAGCCAATGAGACTTCACTTTTGCATCACCCAATAAACTATTGGATCTAAAAACGAGCGCATGCGTCTTAAAAATATATCTAGATGAAAAGGCTTATTGGTTTTTGATATACAGGGTGTCCCTAAAAGGTCTGTACAAAATCTCAGCACATAGTCCTGAGGTCAAAATAAGACGATTTTTGAAGCAGTCCGAAATTGCCCCGTTACCGAGATACAAGGTGGTGAAGATATTAAATAAAAATCGACAAGTACAATCGAAGAAAGGATTTTGAAAACTCCATTTTTGCATTGCTAATTCACTGATCAAATTACATTCACGAAGATAAGAGCAATAGTTATTTGTTTTACTAGGCAGAAAAGTGCAAGGCATTACATCTTCTTTTCTGCCATGTGAAACATAATTTTTCTCTCTTTTCAAATATTCCATTAATTTTTGTTCACTTAAAGTCATTGTCAATTTTGATTAACAATTTGATTCAAATTACTTGGAACGTTGCTGCATCAAACTTTTTCTGCCTAGGCAGTGAAAGTACACCTTTTCTGCCTGTTAAGTGTCATTAAAAATCCACTTTTAATGTCATTTGGAGAAAAACAATACTAAAAATCGAAATATCTCGAAATCGGTTCATTTTAGCGAATTTTCACAAGAATGTCTTTTTTGCTTGATAATGTTCAGACAATTATTTCCTCTACGAATAAGGTGAGAAACTACACTGAGAAAAAAGTTATGGATATTCTAAACCATAAGAAGTCCATTGGTAAGCGCCCTCTAGTGGCCTCAGTGAAAAGCTGTTTTTGAAGTAAAACGTTCAGAAATGTTCATAAATTCTGAGAAATCAGATTTTCATTCTTCAACTTCAACACTCTGTATCATGGAAACAGATCAATTTTGGACTGAGGTAAGTTGCTTTAAAGTGGCTCATTTTGACCTCAGGAATATGTGCTGAGATTTTGTACAGACCTTTCTGGGACACCCTGTATATTCATTATATACAGGGTGTTTCCTAATATGTAGGACGCACTTCGGGAGGTGATAGGGCGTCTCAAGAAAAGAAAAAAGTTCCCATAAACCTAAGTCGTAGAAGGCTCAGTTTGTGAGATACAGGGTGTTGAAATTCAAAATAAAAAATAATTCTCATTGAATTTGTAGATAATTGCTATACAAAAATTCTTGATATTCTGGTGCATAACATGAAACATGAAACTTTTCGAAAATTTTATTCGAGAATATGAAATGGGATGCAAAATTTTGTAGAAAAAAACACCAAATGTTCTGCGACTCGAAGTTCGTACCGCATATTACGAAACACCCTGTATATATGAGTAGGTATGTGAAAGTTATATATTGTTTTTGATTTGCAAACAAATTTTAGAAGTGTATCGTGTGTTGAGTATAATTTAACTCATCTGGCAACACTGTCTCATATTTTTTTGATGATGAATACCTATATTAATCACAAGCCCACTTCTGTTTTGCATGTGATTATTTCCTAGCGTTATATAAAAAAATATTGTACATAAATTTGTGCTCATGTAACATTCCCACTGTATAAGAATAATAAATGATTTAATGAATCAATTATCTGAATCATAAAGAGTTTCAATATAGAAATTGTCCACAAAATTGCGGCTTTGCTGATGTCCTCCATACCATTTGGTCTACCTCCCACAGAGAAGACCCTCCTGTATACAAGTTTTCAACTAATTCCAATTTTTATTGGAAATTGAAAAAAATTCGAAATCATAGTAGTGTCCAAATTTGGCATGGAGAACTTCAAGGCAATTGTCTAGATCCCACCATTGCCATCAGTTTTTTTTTGTATGGGAATATCTATGACCGTGCAGTCTCCAGAATTTCCAGAATAACTTAAAAACTAGGGCAAATAGAGGAAAACGGACTCCATATTCGTGGGAGGCCCTGTATACAAGTTTCCAGCCCATTCCAATTTTTATTCAAAATCTGGAAAAAAAATCGAAATCGTCGTAGAGCCTTCAAATTTGGCATGTATTACATTTCTAATGCAATAGTCTACCTCCCAGCCAAGCAATTTGTCTCTCTTCTTTGTAGAAAAAAAATGATGAATTTAGTACAGTATGGGAATCTTAGTGACCGTGCAGTCTCCAGAATTTTCAGAATAACTATAAATATTGGGCAGATAGAGGAAAACGGACTTCATATTCGAGTTCAGCACATGCAGAAGACCCTCTATACAAGTTTTCAGCTAATTCCAAATTTAATTCGAAATTGAAAAAATTCGAAATTATCGTAGTCTCCAAATTTGGAATGGAGGACTTTAAGGCAATTGTCTATATCCCACTAGAGTCATTTATCTCCCCTCTCAGTAGAAAAAAAGTTATGAATTTATTTATGTATGGGAATCTCAATGACCCTGCAGTCTCCAGAATTTTCAGAATAACTGAAAAACTAGGGCAAATATAGGAAAACGGACTTAATATTCGTGTTCAGTATATCGAGAAGGCCCTGTATGCAAGTTTCCAGCCCATTCCAATTTTTATTCAAAATCGGGCATAAAATTCGAAATCGTCGTAGAGCCTTCAAATTTGGCATGAATTACATTTATAATGCAATAGTCTACCTCTCACCCAAGTCATTTGTCTCTCTTCTTGGTAGAAAAAAAAAAAGGTGAATTTAGTACAGTATGAGAATCTAAATGACCATGCAGTCTCTAGAATTTTCAGAATAACTTTTAATATTGGGCAGATAGAGGAAAACGGACTTCATATTCGAGTTCAGCACATGCAGAAGACCCTGTATACAAGTTTTCAGCTAATTCTAAATTTTATTCGAAATTGAAAAACTTCGAAATCGTCGTAGAGCTTCCCAATTTGGCATGGAGGACTTTGAGGGAATTGTATACATCCCACCAGAGCCATTGGTCTCTCCTCTTAGTAGAAACATAGATGAAACGTTTAATCTATGGTAGAAACGAAGTTATGAATTTAGTACAGTATGGGAATCTCAATGACCGTGCAGTCTCCAGAATTTTCA